CGGCATAGCCGATTTGTTGTGCTTCTTTGCTCGATTTACAGCTTTCAGCGAATCATGCCATTCTTTTCACAGTCAACGGCAAAAAATGTATTGCAGTAAATCCTCGGGCGGCTCAACGGACAAAAATTTTCCTTTTTCCCCTTTTCTTTTTCTTTCCGGCACCATTACTTCCTGGTTTTTCTCGGACTGCTATTTTTCTACTACCAACGCCAACTGAAACCGGTATCAAATCGAATTTGCTTTGACCCGGACTGATGGCCTCGTTAAAAAATGAAATTATATAAAATAAAAAGCGACTGCTACTGCGCACGATACCATGTTCGTACACCTGCATGGTATTTAATATTACATAACAATTTATTATTTTCAAATTTTATAGCTTTTTACACACAGTCAATCGTATCGCAGTCAATGTTAGACAGATGCAATTGTTAAAAGAACCTCACTATAAAAATGAGGTCTCTCCTGACGGATACCAGTCAATCAATCAGTCACTCTCGATGACCATTTAATCTTTCGCCTCGCAGAGGTAGACGAGTCAGACAATGTCCCCAATGTTCCTCAATCCATGCCAGCGTTTGTGCTTCGGCACTTCACATCAACACAGTCCTTGCATACACTTGCCCCAGGCTATTTTTTGTTGTCACTGGAATCTTCACCCGGTCAGTTGAACAAGTACTAGTTGTTTTGCCTCACTTTCGTAAGTTTTGTGGCAACACATGCTCAAAATATTTTAGCAGTGATTTCTCAATCTGTAGAAGCCATTGTTTACGTTAATTGCAAAATTTGATTGATGTGATAAGCATAAAGTAAATCAGGCTGATCTTGATTATGTTTATTATTGAACGAGTAAGCTAAAGACGGTCACACAATAACAGTGCATCCCGTATGCGTGTTCGCTTGTTTTACATGGCAAAAACTTTTATGAGGAATTCATATGCAGCAGATAAGAAGATGCACAAAAAACATTCGACTGTAAAACAAAAATTAACATCATCACACGGGCTTGTGAAGAAACAAACTTATGCTACGAATGAATGTTTGCATATGCAATAAATGATAAATGCAATACGCATGATAAATTTGTTGTTTTGCTCCAGAAAACGTTCGCGCTGTTCTTCAACGCTTATATTTTTTGTTATTTAACAGACCCCTTGTTTTAAATAGCGAGGATTTTACAGACACTATGTCCTTTCAAACATCGACTGATCTACAGTACTTATAAACTCAAGCCAAAGCTACTATGAGTCTAATGACTTGTTGCAAATTGAAATGAACTCGCCGAATGCATAATCTTTTCATATGCCAGCAGCTGGACAATATAACTTCCGATGGCAGAACCATCAACAACGCCTTTGTCCACAAAAAGCACAGATATTCTTTGCTTGTTTCCGTCTACCTTCCTAACTTGTTACGAGCTTCGATGCAGCGGCTTAAACCCGCAACAGTAAACAACAGATTGCTAATGGATCGCGCTCACAACAACAGATCTTCCACGAAACAGAGGGTGGACTGTTGCACGATCTGCAGCGAATTGTGGACGTGAAACGGAACGCGCTAACGTCGAAACCTTTTCCGTCCTTCGTTTTGGAATACACGACACCCAAGATGGCTTTAATTAAACGACGTGTACTTCAGAAGGCGTTGACGGCACTAGAAACAGCCAGCACCAAGTACCGCCTGTTGAGACACTGACACCGAAACCGTCGAAATGCAACGCAACATCAATGTTTCCTCGATATGCACCAGAAAATCACCAGATATCAGCGTTATGAAAATTTACGACCATGATGCACAGCGAGTCAGCAAATCCTGCGGCTTCAGATCGATGATCACCCGTGCATTGATGGATGTGGTGAAGCATATGCTCAAGGAAGAATTGGGAAGGCTCCAATTGCATACGGTCCATAACATGCTAAGATAAAAACTGTAGAAAACTGTTGTCAGTACGTGAGTGAAATTACCTCACGTGTATTACCTGACAGGTATCCGACCAGCGGGCCCCCTATCAGGAAGAAAATCAATGCGAGAGAGGTGTAAGAACGCCCCTGTTGGCGCGAGATACTCAACTACAGACTAATTCATCGGATCACACTTCTTTCGTGACAAAAGAAGCAAGCACAAGCACAATACATCGCACAGAAATTTGTACTATTATTCCTCTGAAAGTAGAACTCTCCCTCATCGGGCCGTGCACCACGACGGAACGACAAGCAGCCCGAGCAACGTCATGATTCGCAGTGTGTCACGGCTGTGCTGGAAAACGCCTACAGCCAGACGAAAACCATTTGGGCTAGGGACCATCGCAGACGGAGCTGGACCACACTGATGGGCAAACTCCAGGTCAAGCCCCACGCATAGGGATTGCCTTGCACGCATATCGGACATCACACAGCACAGGAGACAATGGCAGCTGGGTAAGAAGTACGAGAAGGTTGCCCTTTGCCACATGACGTTTATTTTTTCTTCTTTGATTGATTCTTATGCAAAGTTACATAATTCAACTTTCTTTTGTTTTGCCGTTTACGTCGGAAAACCGTATTTTACTAGGACCCCATTCAACTAGCAACATATTCATTCATTCGTTGGTTCAAAATGTACATTAGAACGTCAATTAGTAGAATTTATTAATTGCAACCGGCGGTTCCAACCTCAAGGTATACCCGGCAACTTGGACGATTTCACGCGATAGCTCTTTGCAAATGATTAATAATCCGAATTCCGGCTATAATACGATTTCATTCGACGATGGTGTAAGTAGTTGGACACTTTTGGTACGCAAATTCTCAATACCTGACACCCGAAATAACTTTAAATTCTACCAGCCTTTTCCACACTTTGATTAGATTCAACTCATTAATAATTAAATCCTCTTCACTGTTACACTGTGACCATTTTATTTCATACTCTCTTGCATTTCACATGAAACACTGTTGTCAAAAACTTTGCTGATTCAGATCAGGGACAATGTTGTGAAGAGCGACTACAAACGTCAAAGACAATAGTAGGCATAACGGTCTTCAGAGCTCAAAGCAAATGAAAACGATATGAGAGAACCGAGATTCTCTTCGCTGATCGCTGTCAAAGACGGCAGATGGCCAAGATCAAGCTCATTGACCAGAACTGTCATACAACATTACCGTACTACTCACATTTACGTGTTAAATCGAACGGAACTGTGTTTTACCTGTTGTATGAAGAGGGCAACGAAGCCAAGCCAAAACTTGGACCAATTCATATATCACGAAATTCCGGTCTTTGTTCTTCGACATGTTTATTCGTTTGTGAATCGGCACTGAATGACAAAAGCCCAGATAACCTGCACTGCCCCTCGAGTGAAAAACGCCAGTATGACATTGGTACATATCTGCCATATTTTGGGTTTATGCTTAACGGGATAACGTAATTCAGAAAACATATTGGAATAAAACATATGCAGAGTAAAAGAATCTAGTCACCCCAACCTCCCCACCCCACATTATTTTAACGGTTTAAATGTTAACTATGAAAGAACACAATGAATATGTATATGTCGCAAAATACACGGAAACAACTACAGGCAAAGACCGTAAATTTGCCTTCCGTTAAGCAAACATTCTGGCAATCAGCCACATAAAATCTCTAGGCGCCATCTAACGTTCCCATTTCTACGTTTAAAAATCATGTCAAGGTTTCAATCACGAATCATTTTATCATCTTTCCCTTATAGTTGTTGCCGCTTTTCCGTGATCCCTTCTGCAGACTACTCTTGAAACACCTTCAAAAGTTTCCGATCGCGAATTCATATCACCAGAAGGCTTGCTGTAAGATGAAATTCAAATACGTGGTATAGAAGCTACCTCACCGATGGAGAGTACATCTACTACGATAGATCATCAAGTATAAAAGGTTGGTGGAACTTGATTCTTCATCATGGCAGCCAGCAACTGAATTTGTCCACACAATTACATGTTTATAAACTGTCAGACGCTCCATACCACACCTGATATGTCGTCGCAAGCATATTCTATAGGGTAGTTGGTAAAGAATGTCGCAACATTAGCGAATACTGTGCATTTGTACTGTGAAGCTTAGGTACTCATAACATTATTTTTTCGTACTCTAGTATAAGAATACACATTCGGATGTTACTTTAGTTGAATCAGTGATTTTTAATTACCAAAATGTTTTTATTTTAAACTGTCGTACAAATTGGTAATTTTTAAGTCGAAACAACGTAAATTCTATACTTGCCGGGAATTAGTAACTTATGAAAAATTATTTGGCAATATAGTTTGATCTACGACAATTGCTGGCTTAGGCAGTAATTTTAACTTATCGACTGAAATTCAAGGGTCAGCAAACGGAACCTTTTCGTCGTTCTTCGTAGTAAAAACAAGCTTTGGTTTTCAGTATAGTTTTCACGTATCCAATTCATGTCATTTCTACGAATTTTTCAGATACGCCGTTACCGATCAATGTAGTGACGGAATGTTTCTGGTTGCTTTTACCACATAGAGATTGATTTTTTCAAGTAAGGTTCAGACAATTCAGAATATCTGCTTCGTGGCTGTTGCGCTTAAAATTAAACAGCAAGAGCAAAGTGCTGCATTGCAACTGGTGTATCACCGGGTACAGATTCACAATATTGGGTATTGCGTGTTGGTGCAGATAACAACAGTTCAATGAGTAGGTATTTGGTTTTTGCAATAAACTTGATTTTTGATATCAAGTTACCCTGACATTTTCTTTGATGACGGTCACTTTTCACCCTAGACTAATTAATAGCGTTTTTCTCAAAGGAAATGTTACTGCCTCTGAAGTCCTGATGGGCGATCGTTCTCGGAAGAACATGAAATGCAGAGGCACCATAGCTGGAAACGTCCCTCCACGCAGAAGCAAACAGCAAGCATCACAATGCGTTGGCAGGAAATTCTGGATGGCTAGATTTTCCGCCGCTGTCGAATCCCGTTTAGGGCATAATCATTTCGCCTCGCCTGGCATCAGCTTTGTTTACCGACATGCACACGACCCGGTTGCCGTCGCTGCATTCCTGTGGAGTCCGCGATAGGGCAACCCAGATTCGAGCCCGTAATACGCTGCCAGACGGGGGTTGTCAGTATTGTTCGGCGCGATCAGCCAAATCCGTCGATGGGAAATACGCGTTAGGTCATCTTGTCTGCTTTCATGGCATTACAACGCGGATTCGCCGATATTGTCTTTATGTCATTGTTCGACGGATATTTTCGTGCCGGCTTCAAGGTCCACATCCCGACCCACTGATCAACCAGCCACGCGAAACTGTCCCCGGGGAACCTGTTGCGGAAAGCATTTCAAAGTGTCGCAACGATGAAACTAGACCGTGGGACTGGTAGCCAGCCACGGTCACGATGACAGAGGTCAAGTATGGGGTTGGGCGGCAAAGCGCATGGCCTTCGGCAGTGGCCACACATTTTCGGTTTAAAGCTCGCCTCCAACGAAGCGCCGGCGGATAACAGATTCCTGTCAATCGATCACCAATCGCTTGCAGACTGATTTAGCGCATTAATCACGACGACAGTCGACAGCGTAATTGTCAATAAATCAATCGCATCATTTTTCTTTCCATTTTACCAAGAGCTGGTTGGTCGCCTACGATTATGCTCACAACTGGTTTCCAGACGAGCGGACAATCACTCGGTGGCTTCGTAGCCCATCGACCGTCCGAGTGATTCTCCACTGCCCCACAATGGTCCCATGCACAATCTCGTTTAGAAGCACCCTAGTGGCAATCCACAGGGAAACGATGTAGGATATGAAGCAACGGGAGAGGCAACCGAACGCAGCAAATAGCCGTTGGTGAATAACGATCTTCGACGACGATAGCAACTTGTCCCCGGGCGGTTGCAATTTACAACGAACGCTGTTTGAGGAATTCTGAATCAAGAGAGAACGAACACGGTCGGTGTGCCGTGATGCCGCCATTAGA